CCCCCCCCCCCCCCAATCAAATACACACATTCCTAACATACTCTCCCTTTTCTTTTAATAGCCTGTAGGTTTCTGAACTACTGTGCCAAGCTGTCTGGACCCAGAGAGGCATGCTCTTCAAGAAAACAAGGGACTTTTCTGGAAATTAACATTTGAATGCTCTCTTGCATAATTAGCATCCTCATCCGAGATGCAGTCACACTGAGTAGATCACACCTCAGGATTGTCTCATCTGCATTTCTTTCCCTTCACTCTCTCTTCCCTGTTCTCCCCCTCTCTACATGCTGAGATCACCCAAAATCTATGCTTTTTTTCGTGAACAATTACTATACAGTGGCCTACTATACATGTATGGCATCCTTTGAAATGTCTCAGTGCAACTGAAACAATGGTCTCATTCCCAAAGAAGTAAACTCAAAGGTACTAAAGTGTTTTAAGAGTTTATAGATATTTTTATGGGTATTTACTGAGGAGGGTGTGCCTGCTCCCAGGGTCTTTTCTCTCGAGGTGTGGGATCATCATTAATGTAGATTCCAATTGCTACTTTAGGCTCCATTTGGAGGATGTCTTGTCTTGAAAGAAATGTTGCAAAAGGCTCAAAGCAAATTCAAGTCACCTGTGATATTTAATGTTAAATGACTTAGTCTACATAAAAATGCAAAATTATATACAGTCAACCATGTACTGATATAATGTTACATTAGATGTACACTGCATTTAATATATTTGTAGACAGGGCCGGATTTACCTCTTTTCGTGACATAGGCAAAACTAATTTTTGGGCCCCCCCCTCCCTAATATAACAGGCCTAATATTACCACCCAAGCAAACAACAATATTTCTTAATCAGTGGAAACAGTTACAGTGTTTTCTATCGCAATAAGCGCTTGCGTTCAATAAATACAAATCGAATGTAGGCTAGTTCTTAATTTGTTTGAGAACTTAAGCCTCGTTCAGACTGTCAGCCCAAATCCGATTTTGTGCAAATTCCAAAACGTCATTTTAGAGCTAATAACAGAGGCTTGATCCATTGATATGCAGGCCAACGCAGTTATTAATGCAGTCTAACGCAGTTATTAGAGAGAGAGAGCAAAAGAGAGAGAGAGGGAGAGAGAGAGATTAAGTGCATGTGAATACTTGTGTCTGACAGCAGTATTCAGCAGCAGCGCCTACTAATAGCCAATCTTTAAGTTAAACTGCTTCAAGAACCTCGCCACTGAGAAATATCATGTAGCTTTTCAGCTGCAAAACTATTTTATTGATAAATTCGCAGGGGCAGCCGCGCAGCTCTGACAACAAGTTTCTGTCCACGTCTCCGCGTGTGTGCACAAGATCGCGAGTGCGTGTCTGTACTGTGTGTGTGTGTGTCTGTGAGAGAATGGGAGAAAGAAAGCGTGATTTCCGTACATAGAAAAAGTTGAAGACATGGAAATAGTTTGTCATTTTTACCCTATTTGTTAAATTTATTTGCTCAACGTCTTCTGGGGTTTTGGTTCTTTTACTGTTGTATATATCCCATAGTATAACAAAAATATTAAGCTATATATCTCTTTATTGTGTTTGGGGCCCCCCTGGACGAGCAAGCATAGGCACGTGCCTAGAATGCCTATGCCTAAATCCGGCCCTGTTTGTAGAAGCTCTACTTAATCTATACTGCTGAAGGACACAGTTTCACTGATGAGTCCTGGGTTATGCCAAACCCCGGATGAAGCGGTAGAGTGAATGTGGTCTGGATTCTGTGGATGAGGGTCATTGTGTCAGAGACGCTGTAGAAGGACAGAATTCCTGCTCTGTGATCCACATACACTCCTATTCTACAGGAGCTGGAGAATACAGGGAGTTCAGATTTTTTGTTATTGTGACTAAATAAAAATCCAGAGGGAGAGCAGAACAATCTCCAGGACTGATCATTACATCCAAATTTACACTCATTACCCCGTCCCTTCCTGCTGATGCTCTTATATGACACTGATATTCCCACACCACGAGTCCCGCTCCACTCCACCTCCCAGTAACAGCGTCCACACAAGCTTTCTTTACACAACACCTGAGGCCAAACATCAAATCTGTCTGGATGATCAGGATACGGCTGCAGTGTAGCAGTGCAAGCAGCTACTGTGTTCTCCTCAGAAAGACAGAGGTGTTTATGCACAGACTCTGAATCTAGAGTAAACTGATGGTAATCTGATGGAGAAAAAAAAACAGACAATCTACATTTTAATAAAGAAATCTTAACTGTCAGAACATTAAGTGACGCAACAAAGATATAAAAGTAGCAACAACAGATCACTGATCTATTACACTATATATCTATTACAGATCTAAGTTTTATCAAAATTTATTTAAAGCCTATTAAAAATTGTAAGTAAAATTTGTAATTTTTTTGCCACTAGTGGGGCAGAATTGCTAAATCATTAAAAAATATCAAACATTCCCATTATCTGCCATTGTTTGGAGTTTGCTGTCAGACAACTCAAACAATCCTAATGCAATACTATTAGTAGTTAGTACAGAAATGAAAAACTTCCCCTTTAAATGTGTATAAATTTGTCTAGCTTTCGCTTTATTTGAATGATTATTTATACCACTTACAGTGCAAGAAGTGCTCTCTTGTTTTGGGTTCAGTGATGGGTGTGAGGATTTTGATATTCACTATACAGAAACAAACAGATATTTAATAAAGATATCAATAATATTAAACTATTAATATTACCACACTGTAAAAAATGACCATGAATTTAACGGTAAAAGACTGTAAAAATGCTACAGTAAAAACCTGTTAAATGGTTAACGGTAAATTCCCCTACTATATACGGTGAAAAACTGTATTGGACATTACATGTATTGGACATAAATTTTACGGTAGTATACCATTTTTGGAAGTGAAAAATACTGTATAATTTACAGTGAATAACCGTAAATTGACATTCCCAGAATTCCCTGCGTTACATTTCAAATTTGATGTTGTTTTGTTGAAATAAATAGGTTCCTTCTTAGTTTTTTCTTATCAGTTTTGTATGTTAGGGTTGTGTGTTACACCTTGTTAAAAACTCCAGATTTTTTAAATCATAATATTTATATTTAAGTGTATTGTATTTATAACATTTTATTTGGTCATTAATTCTTTTGTATTTTTATCATTTTGTATTGTCTTAAGTTGTCCAAGTTGTTAAAAATGTAATTTTTCTTAATAAAAGCTGTATGTATGGATTGCCATTTTGTTGTCTATTAGATGTATATATGTAGTCGTTTAATAGCCGTCTAATTGATGACTAGTCTATTCTTGGGCTATGATTAGACGTCTATTAGATTTTCACTGACAGCCCAAATTTAGCCTAGTTTTAGCCTAGACCCATATTCACCGTCTATTAGATGTATATATTAGGGATGGACGATACCCCTTATTTTGTTTTCAATACGATACCGATATTTTTCAAGGCAGTATCGATACCGATTCGATACTTCTGCACTAAACTTTTAAATTATGAAATGTATTAAATTATTAAATTACTAAGAGTAAAAAGGGTAATGAAAACCACTTAACTTTATGTTTAAAAGGCATTTTAACCCGTTTAATCCCAATTTTTTTCCAGACATGAAAATATCCAAATGATGCGTCATTAGTAACCCTTTGAAATAATCAATTATTTTTTTTTTTTTGTGGAAAGGTGTGTGAAAAATTTCATTTTATGGTCAGTCACAATTGTAACCGGTGGGATAGTGTGTATACTGAATTAACAGATTTCTGCAGTCTTAAAAATTGTTATATATCTTAGCCCAGCTATTTTAAACTGTTTGATCACATTCTAGGGTTACTATTATGCATAAAAAAACCCTTAGACAACATTGATAGGAATACTGAGATGAAATACAAAAAAAAATACAACCATCATCGTATTTCAAAATTGTTACTTTTTTGTAACATATATCATCACATTTTCATATTAGTGCTACCAGTATTACAACATTAATATTCTAACTGATTTGTAACATTTGAACTTTTGATTTAGTGCTATTAGGGACTGCCAGTGAATGGCTGTTGCATGCATAAAATGCAACCTTTTTTATTCTGACAGTGTATGATTTCTATTAACATTACAGAATAGAACATGATCAATATTATCTTTCAACGTTCAATTTAAATAATTGTAACTGCACAAACTATGTAGGCTACAATTTCAATTTGTTTATTGTGAAACAACTCAAACATTTATGTTTTTTTCCCTGTCCTCTGATAAGCATTGTTCAGGGCTGCCATTCCCAAAAGCTTTAATGCTTTCTTATGATACTTTTGGGAAATGCAGCCCTGTTTGAATGCACCGTCAGCAGTGAGTGAATGCTCTCTGTGATTGATTGGTTCTGTCTTGCAACATTTGCGTGTGTTCAGATGAGCAGAAAAATAGTTCTATCCTACACAGTTACTCGCTAACAAAAGTTATTCGTCCAATTCAATGCATATTGTACGCATTATTATTATTATTGTTAAATAAACAAAATAACGTAAATAAAATGCACCTTAGTATCGATATTTTTTGTTTGAGGATCGATACTTTCGATACTCGCGTCAGTATCGATATATCCATACTTCGGATCGATACGCCCATCCCTAGTATATATGTAGTCGTTTAATAGCCGTCTAATTGATGACTAGTCTATTCTTGGGCTATGATTAGACGTCTATTAGATTTTCACTGACAGCCCAAATTTAGCCTCGTTTTAGCCTAGACGTCTAGGCTTTATTTAGACGTCTAATAGCCCTGTTGAAAAACCCAGCATATGCTGGTTAGGTATGTTTTGACGCTGGGATGCTGGTTTATGCTGGTCCTTTGCTGGTTTAAACTGGTCCTTTGCTGGTTTAAACTGGTCCTTTGCTGGTTTAAACTGGTCCTTTGCTGGTTTACTGGTCATGTGCTGGCAAAGGACCAGCATAAACCAGCAAAAGGACCAGCTTAAACCAGCATCCCAGCGTCAAAACATACCTAACCAGCATATGCTGTTTTTTTCAACAGGGAGATGTCTTTTAAACACAAAATTGCTTGCTGGGAGGCTACTACAGATTTTTAATGTTTACATTTTTTCCATGCCTCAGAATCAGGTTGAAGAGATGCAAGAAAAATGTCAGCAGAGAATGCAAGAGAGACAGAAGAAGCTTAAAATTATACAATTGCTTTGGGTTAATATGTGTGACTGATGAATGTCGAGTCTCTTACCAGTCCATCATCCTGCTTTGGCTTCAGCGTGAGACTGACAGTGGCTGTTCTTTATTATCGTGAGTCACTCCGGAGATAACCTACTACCTGTTTTTGCACACGTCCCTTAAACACCAGGAAATGATCTCTTAATTTCAGAGAAAACGAAACCTATTTATAGATAAGTCGCTGTATTTTGCAGTAAAATGGCAGAAGCTCAAATTTCAGTGGCTGAGGATCAGTTCAGCTGTTCAATCTGTCTGGATCTACTGAAGGATCCAGTGACCATCCCCTGTGGACACAGCTACTGTATGAACTGCATCATAGATAACTGGAATCAAGAAGATCAGGAGGGAGTTTACAGCTGCCCTCAGTGCAGACAGACCTTCACTCCAAGACCTGCTTTAAATAAGAATGTGATGCTGGCTGAAATGGTGGAGAAACTGAAGAATAAAAAAGACCAGATGGATCAGTCTCTCAGTTACGCTGCACCTGGAGATGTGGAGTGTGATGTCTGTACTGGAAGGAAGCGTAAAGCTGTCAAGTCCTGTTTTTTGTGTTTGGAATCTTACTGTCAAACTCACTTTGAGCGTCATGAGGAATCTCGTTCAAGTAAGCGGCATAAACTGACTGATGCTGGACGAATCCAGGAGATGATCTGCTCTAAACATGACAGACTGCTGGAGGCTTTTTGTCGAACTGACCAGCAATGTATTTGTTTGATTTGTGTGATGGATGAACACAAAAATCACGATACTGTTTCAGCTGAAGCAGAGAGGACTGAGAAACAGGTATGCACATATAAGTAGCCTAAACTGTGTTGATTGCAATTGCAGTTATTAAGCAAATTAGGCGGTCTATGATGAGATTATCACATATTTGAAAATATCTGGAAACCATTCAATCAAACTGATGATAACTGATAATCTTTCCTCACTAAAACATTTCGCGCCCATTGAAGATTACTGAAGATTTCTAATGTTTACATTTTTTCCATGCCTCAGAATCAGGTTGGAGAGATGCAAGAAAAATGTCAGCAGAGAATCCAAGAGAGACAGAAGAAGCTTCAAGAGCTCAGAGAGGCTATTAAGACTCACAAGGTGAGACTCAGACTAGCCTAGTTAGTGTTGGACCACATTTTCCAGTTCCACTGCCCACTTTGGCTAACAGACTGATGATCTGATTATCTGTGTTCTAACAGCGCTCTGCACAGGCAGCAGTGAAGGACTGTGAGAGGATCTTTACTGAACTGATCCATTCAATTAGGAGAAGCCGCTCCGAGGTGATACAGATGATCAGAAATCAGGAAAAGGCTGAAGTGATTCGAGCTGAGGGACTCTTGAAGCAACTGCAGCAGGAGATTGATGAT